TGCCTCTAGAAAAGAGAGACAGGATTCTCCCATCCGAGATCCTTGGCGGAAAGCAAGGGTTACCCAATACAGGATATAATCGGGAAATCGTAGAACGCACTAGCTGACCATACTTGCATCATTTTATGACCCCTAGAGTAGTGCCTATCAAAGGGTGGGTTTTGACAGCTGGAAGTCTGCTAAGATCCATCCACGGTAGACAGTGAAGAGGACCATCCGTGAAACACTGCTCCATCTCTATCCATTGTCTATGACCCCTGTCCCCACACCAAGCGAGGATCCTAGCAAGATGTGCCGCAGAGAAATAACGAACTGGGTTTGGGAAAGCTGGCCCCAAGAAGAGGATTGGGGCTACTCTGTGAGAATAGATGGCGTCGATCCAAGTAAGGAATCTCTGTCCCACTCCCACATGTCTGAGTGTCTCCTTCAGGAAAAGCCAGTCCACCCTGTCAAAAGCCTTCGCATCCGCGGAAAGCCGACACATGGAGAGTTTTCGGGAATGAGCCCAGTGAACGACATTCAGGACCCTGGTTTTATTGTCCTTGGCTTCCTTAGATGGCATAAAACCCACCTGGTCAGGATGGATTATCTCCTGGAGAGGCCGCAGTTGAAGTGAAAGGATTTTCGTAAAGATTCTCGAATGACAGAGGAAAACTTCCCATGTACATAGTTATGTTCCAGTTTAGAATCAGAAGTGTTGTAATGTGCAAGTGACCCTTTATTTGCAAATAAATAAGGAAATTAATCATGGTAACAATATTAATAATATCAATAATGTTTAGTAAAAATCGTATTAATCAGGGCTTGAAAAATCCCAGGCACCAGGTCACCAAGGCGACTAGAAAATGCAGCCTGGCGCCTGGGCTTTTGTCAGCCCATTCACTGTTGGCACCAGGCATGAGCAATTCCTATCGCTCGATACTCCCAGATATGCAGGATAGTTTTAAACATCTAAAAACAAAACAAGAAAAAAACTTTAGTGGGGACTAGCAGGAAGAAGGAAAGGTGAACCACGATGCACACGGATTGGGTAATGCCAAAGGAAAGGGGAGTGTGGGAAGAACCTTTCCACGCGCAGCAGCAGCGGATCTACCGGGGGAAGGGGCAGAGAATACATGGAGGTGCATGTATATGAAGAAGAGAAAAAAAAAAAAAATCTTAAGCTCCAACACTCCCCTTTCCTTTGGCATTAGCCAATCCGTACGTATCGTGGTTCACCTCTCCCCCTCCCTGCTAGTCCCCATGCGCTGTGCTGGAGACAAGTAGGGAGGTGAACAGAGTTTGGCTCACACAGCATATTACACATGATTACAACACATACACATTAAAAATTTTAACCGTAACAACTTCAAGTGTTAACGCTTCACACTTGAGACTTTGAAAGGGACATGCATCCCTTGAAATTACCTAGTGAGAAAACTGTCTCATTCAGTTGCATTGTAACTGAATGAGCCACTGTTTTTTTTTAAATAAATTAAATAAAATAAAAGCCATAAGTTACTTATAATTGCCTGCCTCATGGGACTGCCAGGATAAATCTAAGTAATGTATAGCTTTTATTTTTTTATGCCATTTTATACTCTGAACAGAAAACTGACACATTGCATAAAACATCTGGTGTGTCACATCAGAATATATTGTCTGCATAAGTTAACCGCAGACATACTGCTACAGGGAAGCACAGGTGCGCAAAATAACGTATATATGCATGATTTTGCATTTTTAGGTAGGGGGCGCACGCGCCCTACCCGTGCCGTCATTCGCGGCTGTCAATCACCAGGTTCTTGCTGGTAATTACTCGCTGGCACCCGGTGATTCACGAGCATCTCCCGACAGGGAGGAGAACTGTATGTAAAAACAATACAGTTCTCCCTGTCAGCTTGTGCACACTGATTTGGATGACTGTACACAGCACAGCCATCCAAAGCAGTGTGCTTATAGTGAAAGACACAGCACAGAGTAAAACAGCACACAGTTAACCCTTTTATATCCCCACAAGTTAACACCTTCCTGCACAGTGCCATTAGTACAGTATCTGTGCTTTTTTTTTTTTTTTTTTTTTTCTTTAGCACTGATCACTGTATTGGTGTCACTGGGGATGTCAGTGACACCAAGTTATTTCCCCCCCCCCCCCCCCGTGTCAGAATGCCCGCAGTCCCGCTATAATTTGCTGATCACCACCTTTACTAGTAAAAATTAAAAAAAAACAAAAATCCCAGTATATATTCCGCCATTTGTAAACGCCATAACTTTTACATAGACCAATTCATTTACACGTATTGGGATTTTTTTTTAGCACAGACGTAATAGAATACATTTTGGTCTAAATTTATGACGAAATTAGATTTTTTAAAAGTCAAAAATATTCTGGGTTTCTCAAAATTGTCAGTCTTTTTTTTTTTTTTTTTTTATAGCGCAAAAAAAAAATAAAAATCGCACAGGCGATCAAATACCACTGAAACAAAGCGCGGGGGGGGGGGGGGGGGGGAAGGACAGAAATTTCATTTGGGTGCAGTGTTGCTTGACTGCACAATTGTCAGTTAAAGTAACGCAGCTCTGTAACGCAAAAAATGGCCTGGTCAAGAAGGGGGGTAAATCCTCAGGAGGGCAAGTGGTTAAATGCCCATGATGTTTGGTTCTAGTCGAATTTATGTGTAAATTTAAGATCTATTATTTTTGTCATTGAAAATAAAGTTAAAAAAAAAAATGGCTCCTAACTTTTTTTTAGCTGTATCATATATTCCAAGTAAATTTGTCAAGCTCGGGTATTAATAATAATAATAATAATAATAATAATAAATAATAATAATGTGTGAATGATCACTATCATAGTGGTTCCAAAGGCTGAGGATTTTTTTCTTTTAACTTATTGCATTCTCTGAATTATAGTTAAAAAAAAAAAAACAAAAAACCCTGCATGCAACACCCCCCTTTTCCCCAGCCTCCCTTTATACTTACCTGAGCCTGATCTCAAGTCAGCGCTGTGCATGAGAGCAGAAGCTCTCCTTGCTCTGTCCTTTCTCATTGGCTTAAAGATAGCAGCAGGGGCCATGTCAGTCACAGCCAGTGAGGCGGAGGTGTGGCCAAGCTGTGCTGTGTGTGTCTATGGACACACACAGCTGGCTTGGGAACAAGCCCGCACGGGTACCCCTTTAGCAAACCGCTTGCTAGGGTGGGTACTCGGTGGGGGGAGCCAGCAGGGACCTAAGAAATGGAGGATCAGCTGCTTTATGCAAAAACATTGTGCAGGGCAGGCCAGTATGACATGTTTGTTTATTTTTAAAAAAAAAACATTTGATCCTTTAGTCCTGGTTGACACTAATGTGGTGCGTGAAACCTCATGTGATTCGGACTGGAATCGCACTGCATTCCTGTTCAAATCACATGCAGTACTTTGCAGTGCTGCAGCCCATTCATTTTGTATGGCTCAAATCGCACTGCACCCGCAAAGAAAAGATACTGGAATTGGATCACATGGGTGTTCACACACATGAGATCCAATTCAGCCAATGCACTGCGTTTTGTGACCTTTTTTTGGGCTGTTAACCATGACACATGCAGAAGTTCGCATAAACCCTTTATTTGTCGTCTAAGAGATAATCCAAGTACTGGTAAACTGTATACTGCTATCCATTTATCACTATCTCAGACATTTTATATCTCCTTAAAGAAAAAATCTTTTATTATCCTGCATACGATCATTCTTTCAAGTGTATGAAAACTTAATTTTGTTGCTTTATTTTTTCGGTTTCGCACTTGTTTCCGATTATTTGTGGCTCATTTTATTATTTAAGGACGAATACTGTACTAACTAAATGAAAATCATTAAAAAAAGAAGTATGGGATTAGTTTTTTTCCCCCCAAAATTATGCTTACCTAGGTGGATGCAGCATCGGTCCCCCTCTGGCTGTGAGAAACTCAGTGATCACATGATCACTGTGTTCTCATAGCTTAGCTGCTCTGTCAGTCTCCGCTGTCTGCTCTACCAACCCCCCCCCCCCCCCCCCCCCCCATTTGACATTGGCTCTCGAAAGCAGTATGCTAATGAACAGAAAATCGGAGGATGATTCCAAATACGGATATTTCTGTCTGATTTTCTAATGATGTGTACTAGGCTTGAAGTATACATGAACCCTTTTAAACAACCCATTCAGTTTAAAATAAAGATGAAAGGCAAACATTTGCCACAAAGCTGACCACGCTGTGCTTTCATGCCTACCGTGGTCTGTTTTTAGTAGGAAACCAGAGGGAATGGCAGGATTATCAGGGATTTCACACAAAGGAAGTCATACAAAGAGAACAGGATACTTTTTCATTCAAATACATGGTACAGAAGGCGTCTATCAGGAATTTGTTGGGTTTTCTTTTTTTTTTTTTTATTTTTTTTTTTTTTTTTTTTTTTTGAAGTGACAGGAACTGTTATCAATAATTCTGAATATGATTTATGCAAGAAATACTTTAGTGCATGGAAATCTTTTTTTTTTTTTTTTTTTTTTTTTACCGCAAACAATTATGTGCATATTTCTGGAGAACCTAGCATTTCTGTCCTATTTGATTGTGAACAGATATCTTTGAGGATTTTGGAGATTTGATTCATATATGGTGGTCATTTTACCACTGCTGTACATATGAAAAATGTTATTGAACACGCAAATAATGTGGATTTTATATATCTGTGTGAAAAACTATTACAACCAAATTCTTTCCTGTTTTTACACTTGTTCATCATGACTTGTATCAAAGCTAATTATGTTTTTTTTTTTTTTTTTTTCCAGGATACATAGATTCAATTGTGCTTGGGGGCTGGGGTTATAATGCCCCATGGTAGCAGCCCCCAGGATACTCAATCTATACCTCAGCCACCTAAAAACAGCTCAGGGAATGATGGCGAGCAGCAGAGGCCTCAAAAAGCCACACCCCAATCTCCTGCACAGTCCTTTTCACCCGCAGTCAGTTCTGCTGGTCCACAATCACCCAGCTACCAAATACAGCAACTCATAATGAGCCGAAATCCAGTTGCTGGTCAGAATGTGAACATTACATTACAGAATGTGGGACAAGTGGTGGCTGGTAACCAGCAGATTACTCTGACTTCACTACCAATAGCAAGTCCAGCCTCTCCTGGGTTTCAGTTCAGTTCCCAGCCAAGGAGGTTTGAACATGGATCCCCTTCCTATATTCAGGTCACTTCCCCAATGTCTCAGCAAGTCCAAACACAGAGTCCGACACAGCCCAGCTCTGTGCCAATCCAAGCAATACAAGGCGTTCGAACAGCAACAGCTGGAGCTAGCTTGGGAATGTGTAGCCAGAGTCCCACTCATGGATTTGTAGATGCAAGTTTGTTTGTTAGACAGCTTAGTCTTGGTGCTCCTGGCACTGGACACTTTGTCTTTCAGGAGGGCTCTGGAATTACTCAGATAACACCCGGAACACAAGTGCATCTTCCTTCTAGTACCTCCACACCAGTTCAGACACGTACTTTGTTGCACTCCAATTCACAGTCTGCTGGCACTGTTCATCAATTTGGTTCACAGAATACTGTTGCAGCAGGAACCGGTATACAAACCTTGGCAACTTCAAGCCACCTGACAGCCACCAATATACCTACGCAAATAAGCAGTATTATACAAGGACAGTTCATTCAACAGCCACAGGTTATACATGGCCAGCAGCTGGGAAGGACCCTCAGCTTTGATAGGACTTCTGGTGGAATGATAGCGGGTGTTGCGGGGACCTCAACCTTTGGTGTATCATCACAACAAACTCCAACAAGTCCATCTCGGGCTTCTGCTCCTCAGGGACTCTCTAGTCTTCCTCTTACTCCAACAATGAGTAGCACCTTAAAAAAGCAAACTAAAAGGCATGAAGAGATCCCACCTGCAAGTGCTGAAGATGCTCGGTTGAGAAAACAGTGTTTGGATCATCACTACAAAAACATGATCATCCTCAAGGAAAATGTTAGGGAGTATCTGATTGAAATATTCTTTCTGCAGCAGTGTCAAGGAAACATGATGGATTACCTGGCATTCAGAAAGAAGCCTCCATTATCCCTTCAACACTTTCTAAAACAAAATGATTTGGATCTGGAAGTGGAAGAGGAAGAAGTGCAAATAAATTCTATGGCCATTGCAATGCCGGTAAGTTTGTTTACTTTGTTCCATGATTAAGTCCTCATGAACACTGGACGTTTTTACACCTGCTGTTTTTGGCTTTTCATGTTTTTTTCTACAGCCAGTAAACCCCCCAGTATGTTATCCTATGTGTCCATGCACACATAGACTGTAATCAACATTTTTTGGCTGGAAAAAAACCCCTAGGCTAGTGGGTTTCTAGAGGAGTTTTTTAGCTAAAACGCCACAAACCGGCGTTTTTTTGACCCCCCCAATTTTTTTTCGTTTTTTGGTATAGAAACACTGGAAAACGACGCTAAACACTAATGCAAAAGCACTGACTTTACACAGCTAACGTTACCAGTGTTGTCAAAACGCCCAGTGTACATGGAGCCCAATGGTTGAAAGACATTACAATTAAAAGCATATGTCATTGCAAATCCTGATAATTAACTTTTCTGATTTGCTTTCTATATGTGTATTAAATATACCCTTAAGGTGTTACTAAACCCACAACAGTAAAATCAGTCTGTATATGCAGTAAAGGATGCTTGTTATACTCACTGTGGAACCTAAGGGGTTAATCCTCTGCATTGTGTAAAAAGGCTGTGTGATCCTGACTCCTCTGATCCTTCCCTTCTTCCAGTGTCCCCCTCTTATCTCATGATAAGACATATTGTGTGTAGACACACTGCACATGCTCAGTTTGATGTGTATTGCTAGAGTGTTTTTTTTTTGTTTTTCTTGGGAGAGTGTTTGTGATCAGCACAGGACCAATCAGCACGGTCTAGACAGAGGTTCTGCATCCTCTTAGAGCAGAACGAGAACTTCTACAAGGTTTAGACCTCATGTACATTGCTGCTCCTAAACATGCATTTAGGAGCTTTTGGCCAAAGCCCCTGAACTTAACTCAGTAAAAGCCTATGTGTCCATGTACACATAGGCTTTTACCAGAATTTAGGAGCAGCAGAGTTAGTAATAGAGAGGGGAGTTAAACATGCCTCTTCTGAATGCAGAATAATCTCATTCAGGAGAGGAGCGTTTTGGCCAAAAAAAAGGCTAAACGTGGCAAAAACGCATGTAAACGCAGCTAAACGTTAGCTGCATTTAGCGCTTAGGCGTTTATCCATGTCAATAGAAAATACTCTGGTCAATCAACTGATTAAATGTCCAAGCACTAAACGCGGTGCCACGTTTATCATTTTTCTGCTGCCAGGAGAGTTTAATGACTACGTGAGTTTGTGTGTACATGAGGCCTTAACCAGTGCTCTGCTGAACACTGATAGAAGTCACAATACTGCTCTAACTGCTGATGAGAAAAGCTATTTTAGTAGTTTATGTTTACTAACATAACTGCATTTCCATATTCTGTGGGAGACTGAATATAGTGAATGCCGGGTCCTGGGTTTAGTATCACTTTAAGAGCTGACCTTTGACCTGTGCATACTTTCTTTGCTATCTCTAGAGTTCTCCCATTTCTTATCTTGGACTACAGAATCTTTTTTTTTTTTTCCCTGTGTTTCCCTGTGTTGTGGAGATGAGGAGAGCATAAGGGATCTAGCAGTTTAGCATATTTTTCTGTGATACTCACTGCTTACTCTTGCTCAGAAATCGGTGAAGGTCAGATCCCATTATTGCACACGTTCCTAATTCACAGGCAAGACACTCTGCTCATTTGCAGATGCACAGGAGTGTCACTTATTCTTAATGGGCCCCCACATATTGGAAAAAGTGATGCGTTTTTGAGTTTTTAAAATCTTATGGTGCTGCAGCACCATGCGATTCTGTGTAGCCGTTTTTTTAAAAATGGGTTGGGAATAGGGATGCACCAAAATATCGGTGGCTGAAATTTATCGGTCAGAAATGGTGTTATCAGAATCTTGGCTATAGGGAAAAAGGTGCCAATAATGGCTGCTGAACACGCACAAATTTTACTGCGATTTTACCACATTTAAAAGCATCAAAATGCAACACGTACGTTTTTGCATGTGCATTTTGATGCATTTTTTAATGCGTTTTGCGTATTTATTTTTTTGGCCAACTTGTTGCTGGGCAGATTAAAAACGCAAAACACATCAAAATGCAACACATGCGTTTTTTTTATGGGTTTCCAATGCAGTCGGCGTTTTGTCTGCTTTGCAGAGTGCTTTTTGCATTGCATTTTGCTTTGTGTTTTTTGAATTTTCATTTTTGGCCAACTTGTTTCTGGGCAGATTAAAAAAGCAAAACGCATCAAAAACGCAACACGTGTGCTTTTTTGATGTTCCAGTGCATTTCAGACCTGGTTAACACCAATGCGGTTTGTGTTTTGTCTGATTTGCAGTGCTTTCTGCATTGCATTTTGCTTTTTTTGATGCGGTTTTTGAAAGTTTTTTTTTTTTTCTTTTTTGGGCCAACTTGTTGCTGGGCAGATTCAAAACACGAGACGCATCAAAAAATGCAACACGTGCATTTTTGCTGCTTTTTCAATGCATTTCAGGCTTGGTTCACACTTTTTGCAGTGCGTTTTCGCATGCACCTTTTTACGCGTTTGATGCATTTTGCACATAAAAATGCAAAACACATTAAAACACGCCAAAACCGCACTACATGCATTTTCTGAAGTGCCTCCTTTGAAGTCTGTTGAACCAAAAACGCAACATTTTGCGGTTTAAAATAGTCCTTGACTCTTTCCAATAGCAGCTCAAAAAAACATAGATGTGAATGTGTCCTATAGGAAACCATGCTAAATGGACTGTAGTGCATTTCTGCAAAAAGCACTAAAAAAAGGCATTTGTGTGAACCAGGCGTATATACAGTCATGGCCGAAATTGTTGGCACCCTTGATATTTTTCCTGAAAATCAAGTATTTCACACAAAAAAGGTATTGCATTAACACATGTTTTGCTATACACATGTTTATTCCCTTTGTATGTATTGGAACAAATATAAAACAGAGGCAGAAAAGCAAATATGACATAATGTCACACAAAACCCCAAAAATGGGCTGGACAAAAGTATTGGCACCCTTAACTTAATATTTGGTTGCACACCCTTTGGAAAAACATAACTGAAATCAGTCGCTTCCTATAACCATCAATAAGCTTCTGACACCTCTCACCACCCGGAATTTTGGACCACTCTTCCTTTGCAAACAGCTCCAGGTCTCTCTTATTGGAAGGACACCTTTTCCCAACAGCAATTTTAAGATCTCTCCACAGGTGTTCAATGGGATTTAGATCTGGGCTCATTGCTGGCCACTTCAGAACTCTCCAGCGCTTCTTTGCCATCCATTTCTGAGTGCTTTTTGACGTATGTTTGGGGTCATTGTCCTGCTGGAAGACCCAGGATCTTGGACGCAAACCCAGCTTTCTGACACTGGGCCCTACAGTGCGACCCAAAATCCTTTGGTAATCCTCAGATTTCATGATGCCTTGCACACAGTCAAGGCACCCAGTGCCAGAGGCAGCAAAACAACCCCAAAACATCATTGAACCTCCACCATATTTTACCGTAGGTACTGTGTTTTGTTCTTTGTAGGCCTCATTCCGTTTTCGGTAAACAGTAGAATGATGTGCTTTACCGAAAAGCTCTATCTTGGTCTCATCTGTCCACAAGACGTTTTCCCAGAAGGCTTTTGGCTTACTCAAGTACATTTTGGCAAACTGTAGTCTTGCTTTTTTATGTCTCTGTGTCAGCAGTGGGGTCCTCCTGGGTCTCCTGCCATAGCGTTTCATTTCATTTAAATGTCGACGGATAGTTCGCGCTGACACTGATGCTCCCTGAGCCTGCAGGACAGCTTGAATGTCTTTGGAACATGTTTGGGGCTGCTTATCCACCATCCGGACTATTCTGCGTTGCAATCTTTCATCAATTTTCCTCATCCGTCCACGACCAGGGAGATTAGCTACAGTGCCATGGGTTGCAAACTTCTTGATAATGTTGCGCACTGTGGACAAAGGCAAATCTAGTTCTCTGGAGATGGACTTGTAACCTTGAATTGTTGATATTTTGCCACAATTTTGGTTCTCAGGTCCTCAGACAGTTCTCGTCTCCTCTTTCTGTTGTCCATGCTTAGTGTGGCACAGACAGACACACAATGCAAAGGTTAAGTGAACGTCTCTCCTTTTTATCTGCTTTCAGGTGTGATTTCTATATTGCCCACACCTGTTACTTGCCCCAGGTGAGTTTACAGGAGCATCACATGCTTGTAACATTCTTATTTATCCGCAGTTGTGAAAGGGTGCCAATACTTTTGTCCAGCCCATTTTTGGAGGTTTGTGTGACATTATGTCGAATTTGCTTTCTTTCCTCCCTTTTTTTGTTTTGTCCCAATACACACAAAGGGAATAAACATGTGTATAGCAAAACATGTGTTTAATGCAATACGTTTCGTGAGAAATACATGATTTCCTGGAGAAATATCAAGGGTGCCAACAATTTCGGCCATGACTGTATATATATATATATATATAATATATATATATATATGTGTATGTATGTATGTATGTATGTACATGTGATTTGCATTTCTGGGTAGGGGGCGTACATGCCGCCCTACCCACGCCACTATTGGCTGCTGGACATGTCAGTCACCGGGTCCTGGTTGGCAATTCTCGGCCGGGACTCAGTGAACGTCGGCAGAGCTGACAGGGATAGAGACCTTTGTGTAAACAACACAGGTCTCTCTCCTGTCAGCAAGGACATGCTGCTTTGTATTTCTCTGCACAACAGAGAGATACAAAGCAGCATGTCTCTGTAGTAAAACACAACATAGCACACTGTTATCCCTTTGATCGCCCACATATTAACCCCTTCCTGCCCAGTTTCCTTAGTACAGTGTCAGTGCTTTTAATTAGCACTGATCACTGTATTACTGGCAGTTAGTTCCCACCCAGTGTCAGAATGCCCACCGCAGTCCCGCTATAAGTTGCTGATCGCTGCCATTGCTAGTGAAAATAAAATTTAAAATTCCAGTATATATACCGCCATTTGCAGGCACTATAACTTTCACGTAAACCAACTATTATACACTTATTGGGATTTTTTTTCTTAGCAAGGACATAAAGCAGAATACG